TGTCCTTACACATCCTATGTGGGGATTGTACCACCCACACTGTTAAAACCCATCATTAAATGTAAGTACATTTCATTGAAATTTTGAAGCTATATTTCCACTTCAAACAGAGAGCACTATATTTTGGATTTCTGTTTTTACTATATGTATAGTGAATAAATATAGAAGAACACTCACCAAAAGGGATATCCGTGAGCGGAGATAATACAGCTTCATGCTTTGACTAAGAGCTGATGTAGAAGTTCTTTTTTTGCAAGTGTATTTTAATCTTTTTTTTATCTTCTTTAATCTTCTTCTAGTTTACCCTTTGGCTGGATTACACAATTGGCTTTCTCTCTACTTTTATATTTCATGTGAGTTGCATATGTTGTGAATGTGTCACTATACATACCAGTGTTCCTGAAAAGATGAGTGTTTATCTACTGCATATCCCGTGACAAGGGAATACATGAGAACTAATATATAGCTCCATGTTTATGAGTGCATTTTCTATCACCTTATTACTCACCTCTGTTATATACAAAATTACACTATTTTGCCATCCTTGTCACTTCATATTGCGAACACACTACAATACCTGTTGTACTTCACTTCTCCTTTCAAGAATTTTGCTATCAATTGAATTTGGGACTATTCTGTAAATGCTATTTTACTACTTTTATTATTATTGTTGTTTAACATCTCTACACCAACATTTGGGGAAACCTGTTTTCTATCTCTGTGGCTAGAGTGGTAGCCTGACAATTTTAATGGATTGTATCCAACAAACAGGGTTTAATGAAGGTGTTTTGCAAAATTATTTTATATATGTATAAAATTGGGATGCATTTGTAAAACGGAAGAATGGGTCATCAAACTAATACCAAGTCAGCATTTAAGTCCTCTTTGAAACTGAGACGAACCACTGTAATTGATTATCAGAACCTTATGGAGCCTTAACTAAACATAACAGTGCACACTTAACACAATGCACATTTATCACAATGCATTATTCTTTGCTCTATCCCTTGTTTAAGCAATGCAGTAAGCTCTCTCCTCAGCTGTATTAAAATGTTCTCTCTTTGCTGAAGTGGTGAGTTCTGCACTGATATGAAAATAGGTCATTTTTGACCCACTTCAATGTTAAAGGGAAACTATAGTTTCAGGAAAACAAAGTTGCTTTCCTGTCACTATAGCTTTCCTGTCACTAATGCTTTCCTAAGGCAGACTCCAAAACAATATTTATAAAACATACCATATACAATACAGTGTATACAATATACTTTTAAAAACAATTCAGGACAGCAGAATTTTGTGCATATGATGATTTGACTTGCAGAATTGTGCCTGCTGAAAAAGTTTGGAAAAAGCATACACATGATTTAAAAGTTGTGAAAAAGGTCTAATAAATGTACTGCAAAATATACACATGCTATATTTATTAATATATTATTCATCCAATCTTGAAAATGCCTACTTTGTCCGTTGAATGAAACTCCTTTACTGTGTTAACCTCTACCACTTCAGCTGAAAGGCTATTCCATGCATCCACCACCCTGAATTGGATGGGTTATTGGTAAAGTAATACTTCCTGATATTATTTTTAAACCTTTGTTCTTCTAATTTAAGACTATGTCCTCTTGTTATGGTAGTTTTTCTTCTTTTAAATAGAGTCTCCTCCTTTTCTGTGTTGATTCCCTTTATGTATTTAAATGTATCTATCATATGCCCCCTGTCTCGTCTTTCCTCCAAGCTATACATGTTAAGATCCTGGTAAGTTTTATCCTGCAAACTATGAACCAGTTTAGTAGCCCTTCTCGGAACTCTCTCTAAAGTATCAATATTCTTCTGGAGATACGGTCTCCAGTACTGCGTGCAATACTCAAAGTGAGGACTCACCAGTGTACTGTACAATGGCATGAGCACTTCCCTCTTTCTATTGCTAATACCGCTCCCTATACAACTAAGCATTCTGCTAGCATTTCCTGCTGCTCTATAACATTGTCTGCATACCTTTAATTCATCAGAAATAATTACCCCTTAATCCCCTTCCTCAGATGTTGAGGTTAGGACTCTATCAAATATTCTGTACTCTGCCCTTTTTTTTACATCCAAGATGTATTATCTTGCACTTATCTACATTAAATGTCAGCTCCCACAACTCTGAACATTTGGTTTATCCCTCCCGGAACATCAACTCTGTTACATATCTCAGCATCATCAGCAAAAAGACATACCTTACTATCAAGACCTTCTGCGATATCACTAATAAAAATATTAAAGAGAATTGGTCCAAGTACAATTCCCTGAGGTACCTCACTGGTGACAAGCCCATGCTTTGAATATACTCCATTGACTACAACCCTCTGCTGCCTGTCACTCAGCCACTGCCTTACCCATTCAACAATACTGGAATCCAAACTTAAAGTTTGCAGTTTATTGATAAGCCTTCTATGTGCAACAGTGTCAAAAGCCTTACTGAAATCTAGGTAAGCAATGTCTACTGCACCACCCTGATCTTTTATTTTAGTTACTTAATCAAAAAAATAAATAAGATTATTTTGGCATGATCTCCCTGAAGTAAGCCCACGTTGTCTTTGATCTTGAACCCATATTGTTCAGTGCTTTATTCTTTGTTGTTTACACTAATAAATATTCCTAATAAACCACACTGAATTAAAGAGAAAGGATACCTACTATGTTTGTAAAGTCTGAGATAAGCTCTGGTTTAAACCTGCTGGTTGATCTGACAATTTGCATTACAGGGTTAAGCAAAGTCAACAATTTCTAGACTAACAGCAGTTTTAATTAAGTATCTCCTGTGGCTTAGGGGGTTGACAAATATCCCTGAGATGCTCTATAATTAAATGTGACTGTGATTGCATGCTCCATGACTACACAGATATCAGATGTTATAGAAATTCTGGGGCATAAAAAAACCGTTGCTAATTGGAGCTTTGCTGATGTACTTCCAAGAAGTGATTAAACTAGCAGCATGAAAATATTGTTTGTGTGTTCTTTCAGTGGCTTCTAGCTGCGTGATTTTGTTCCTTTCTCTTTTGGCTTTAACAAAATAAGACACGTAATCAGTTGGGTCACTCTTAATAAATTATATCAGATAGAAATAAATAAATATGTTAAAATTAAACATATGAAACAGGGCTCATAATATATCTTAGTCCTGAACGTTAAATAAGAGTATTTTTAATAGAACATTTGCTGAATTGGATGGGTTATTGGTAAGTTACTTTCCTTGAGACATTGACTTTGCATTCTGGTTGAGTCCCAGACTTCAGTGCTCATAGATAGCAAAATATGGATACTTTAGGTATCTATTCTGTAAATTATGTAATAGAGATTCAAGGGACAATAAATCCTTAATAAAAGTGACTATTTTATTCCATCACATTGGTATTATTGGTATTATATCCAATGTGATGGAATAAAATAGACACTTTTATTAAGGATTTATTGTCCCTTGAATTTCTTTTACATAATTGTGTGTGATAGGTATTTAATTCAGATAGAAATATGAATTTAGGCCTATGTGTGAATGCAAGTGTATATTTTTGCAGACTTATGTGCACACAGTCCCACAGTCAGATGCACACAGTTATACATATACACTGTCAAATTCACGATATGTACACAGTCGCAGGCAGATAGTCACATACACAGGATCAGGCAGAAACACACAGGTACAGGCAGTAACACATATACACAGTAACAGGCAGATAAACACACTCACACACAGGCAGATGGCCTCACACACAGCCAAACATACAGTCTTACACAAACATACTTACATGCAGACAGTCACACACACACACAAAGGCAGACAGCCAAACACACAGACAGCCACACACATACACACAGGCAGACACACACACACACACACACACACAGAGACAGCCACACACACACACACACAGACACACAAACACACACACAGAGGCAGGCAGTCACACACACACACACACACACACACAGACAGACAGGCACACAAAAACACACAGGCAGACAATCACACACAGGCAGTCACACACACACACAGGCAGACAGTAACACACAGGCAGAGAGTAACATACACACACACACACGCACAGCCAGACAGTCACAGACACACACACACACACACACACACAGGTAGACAGTCACACAAACAGACAGAGAGACACACACACAGGCAGACAATCATACATAGTTACCTCTGTTCATTATGGAGGAGTGGAGGCAATGCAGCTCCTGGACACTGGTTGTTGGGGAAGCAGAGACAATTTACCAAATTAAACCAACATGTTTAGGATTGTTGTTTGCTCAGTTCATTTCTGTATGGATCCTCGGAGATACAGAATTAGATCAAATAGCTCATCGCTCCAAATTTGAATGAAGGGGGCGGGGCCGGGCCGCCAAGCCGAGCGGCAGCTATCAATGCCAGCTCCGGCTACGAATAGCTAAAATACGCTAAAAAACAGCACTGAAAGCACACCTGAAACAGTGGGAAGGCATGGGCACTGGGCGGGGAGAGGCACAGGAGCACGGCCCGCTGGGCAGCCACCGAGCAGCCAGCCCTGCTGGAGCGCGATGACCACATGAGGCCTACACGCAGAAGCCGCGAGCCCAGACGAGAGAAGGGGGGACCGGACCCGGCCCCGCTCCCCCCCCCCTCAGGCCGGCGGGGGTGATCCCGGCCCATGAGTCAGTTCTTTGGAGACGGGAGGCAGAAGGCCCACACTGGCGGAGCCCTTTCCCACGTGGTGTCAAGATGGCCGCGGAACACGCTCGCTACGGGGAGCCACGCGGGGGCGCCTGGATCCTTAGGGATGGCAGATCCCACAGACGGACCTCACCGGGCGGCAGATCGGTCGACACGGAGCCGGCCCTAGCCCCTGGATTTGGTGGTGGTCCGGGGAGGCCCGGCCCCGACTCTGAGAGCCCTATGATGCTGGGTTAAGCTGGACCCCCGGCGGACCGGTGGCCGGGGTGACAGGCGCCGGCGACATGCAAGAGGCCGGAGAGGGGTGAGGCCTAATGGGGCTGGAGCTCCAACGAGGAACTGCAGAAGCTGGGGAGGTGCAGGGGACGAGGGGCCCGAGGACTTTTCGGGGGGGGAGTCTACCGGGCAGCTGACAGCCCTGAGTGCCCACAGCACTGTGGAATCATCTAATGACCAGCCAGAGCAGGCCTGAGGGGGAACAGAGGGGATTAGTCACACCAAGGGAGCTGAGGGGACCCTGCAATGAGGGACCAGCTTGGCAAATATAAGCACACCAGACATAAGCCTGCAAGAGGACACAGCAGAGGAAAGCCCGCACAGATACCCCACAGGAGGCCACTGACATCACACTGGACATTCTTTACCATCGGGCACCACAACGCCACCTCCAGTGGAGAGACTCCCCTATTAGGGTTACATAGACCCAGATTTGGATACACCTTGTTACTGAAGTTTTAATTTCTATCTTTATTTTCTATGATGATGTTGCTTTAATATGCACAAAAAAAATAAAAAATTATTGTTTGCTTTACGTTGCCCTCAGGGGCCCTAGCCAACTGTTATTGAATGACGCACGTTACAATATTAATTATATAAAGCTCGCCCATCCTGAAGACCTGCTCTGACCGCTACCTGGGCGTATACCGGTTAGGCAGTGTTGAATGCATTGCTATAACTGTGACCATTAATGAGGCTTTAGCACAGCGCGCTATACACAGGCTGATTTAAACGGTTAAAGCCCTTTCCCCGCGAGCTGCACCCTATATAAGTCAGCTGGCTGGCACTTTCTTTACGCATTGTCACCAAATACTGTAGCACATAGCCACTGATTGCAGATCTATTATTTTAATGTGCACGTCCAGGCCACTGGGCACCGCACTTATGATACGTATCTGGAACACATTAAGCGCGCCAGGCCTACCCGGAGTGCATGACAAAGTAGGTACATACGCAAACCCAGGCGCGCGGAATCGTGCTTTACTTTTGCCAGACAACTAGCCTGTCAGCCTGCAGAACACACACACGATTGCCTCGCATACTGCGCCCATTCTATCTGCAGGATATCATATGCATGCCTCAGTGACGGTGATCAAATGCGCCCTACGTTAGTATACATTTTGCAAGGAAGTATAGATAGCTTAGCACTTGACTTTATAGTGATTACCTACGCATTAGTCCCTTATTGCTACTATAGGCTTTTATTAATAGCATATTACCATATTAATATGTCGCATGGCCAAGTGCAGGTCAGGCAGCCATAGCCTGCGCTACTCCACAGCGTGGCTGGCAAGAAAGGGTATAAAAGAAGAAAATCGAATGACATGGCCTCCTTGTTCACCTGATCTGAACCCCATTGAGAACCTGTGGTCCATCATCAAATGTGAGATTTACAAGGAGGGAAAACGGTACACCTCTCTGAACAGTGTCTGGGAGGCTGTGGTTGCTGCTGCACGCAATGTTGATGGTGAACAGATCAAAACACTGACAGAATCCATGGATGGCAGGCTTTTGAGTGTCCTTGCAAAGAAAGGTGGCTATATTGGTCACTGATTTGTTTTTGTTTTGTTTTTTTTGTTTTTTAATTTGAAAATAAGTTTTATTTTATGGTTGTCAAGAATCTTGCGGCGCCTGCTCGCCAGGGTACAAAAAAAAAATGGGATAGTGCAGGAACAATAATTCACATTGGTGTTACATTAGTTACATTAGTGTTACATTAGTGTTACACAATGACCATTTTATATTTTCCTTTGTGTTGTCAACCGGTACCCCTCATCACTCTAGGGCCGTCACCTCTCGAGCCCAACCCCTATTGTGGTTAGTGGTTGTGGGGGGGGTGTGATTCTAACCTCTGCGACTGCTTGAGACGTTCCACGTCTATTGTCTCTTTCCACTTCTTACGGGGGTGGTGACCCTCTGATGGCTATGTCCTGGTTTCCCCCATTCTGGAAGACCTCGCAGCGGTCCCCTGTGGTGCTACTGGGCTCCGGGTCCCCTCTGATCCCTCCCTGTATTCCCTCCATCTCTCCCCCGCTTTTTTAATGTTTCCCTGTGGTGTCAGGTGTTTGAAGGCCATTAATTCATACTTCCAATTGGTATCTGCTTGGTTTAGTAAAGCTTCCCTGTTTGGCACCTGGGTTGATTTCCATGCTCTGGCTAATAGTGTTACTGCAGAAATTAGCATGTGGAAGATTAGTCGTTCCTCAATTTTGTTCAGTGTTGTGGGGATCATAAAGAGTACGCATTGTTCAAGGTTAAGTGGCCAGCGTCTACCTATCAGCTTCCCTATTTCCTGCTCCATCGTCACCCAGAGTGGTGCTAGTCTCTCGCATGACCACCATGTGGGTCCCATTGACCCTCCCTGGGCCCCACATCTCCAGAATCTATTGGGGGAGTCTGGGTACATTTTGGATAGCCTCTCTGGTACCATATACCACCTGTATTGTAGCTTCCTTATAGTTTCTAAGTGTGTGGAGCATTGTGTGTTCCCCTTGTGAATTTTAAAGGCCCTCTCCCATTTCTCCTGTGATAGGACGTATCCCAGTTCTCCGTTCCACGCTTCTTGGAATGGCATAATGGTGTCCCGTGGCTCATTATGTAGCTCCTTATACAGCGTGGATAGTGTACGTTTGACTGGTTTTGGTGAGAGGCATAGGTGCTCTAACTTACACTCTTGTTGCTGTGGTGTGTTTTGTACTTCTATCCCCTTGAGAAAGGACTTCAGTTGTAGAAATGGGAATATGGCTCTATTTGGGAGGTGATATAGTTCTTGGAGGTCTGGAAAGGTCATTAACTTCCCTTCCTTGTATAGATGTGTGACTGTTGTGCACCCTCCATCTCTCCATTGTTTATGTTCAAATGTTGGGATTCCTACCGCGATCACGGAGATCGGGGCATTCCCTGGTATACTGTCCCGGGCCCTCTCCCCACCCTTTGTCTCGTCCCAGATTGCCATGGTGGTTAAGGTGGTCGGTAGGGGGTCGATGTGTGCGGGGCGTAGGTGTCTTGGTAGCCAGAATATGTTGTGCAAGCCATACCCTCCCGCCCAGTGGGCTTCTATTTTGGACCATTGTGGGGTTTCCCCTTCTGTCGTAGATGCTTTGATAGCTGCTATGTGTGCGGCCTTGTAGTAGGTGTGGATATTTGGTAGCCCCAGCCCCCCTTTTTCGATCGGTCTTTGTAGGACCCAGGCTGCCACCCTTGGTTTTTTCTTTGCCCATATGAATCGGACCAGGAGACTCTGCAGCGTTTTAAAGTAGTATTTTGGTAGCTTTATGGGTAGTGTGCGTAGAAGATATTGGAGTTTGGGAAGCAGCATCATCTTCAATGCTGCCAGCCTCCCTACCCAAGATAAATATTTGCCCTCCCAACCTTCTAGAGTCGCTGCTAGTTCTTTGTATAGTTTGGTATAGTTTTTTTCTATTAGCTTATTTAGTTGGGTCGGGATGTTTATGCCTAGGAACGTAATGTGGTCTGTTCTCCAGTCGAATGAAAAGGCCGATTTAAGTCTATCTAGAGCGTCCGACCCCATCCCTATTCCCATGGCTTGAGTCTTGCTAATGTTTAGTTTATAGTACGAGTGCCGTCCGTATTCTAAAATTGTTTCCACCAGGTTAGGGAGAGATATCTGTGGTTGTGTCAGGGTGAGCAGCACGTCGTCGGCAAATAAGTTTGTTTTGTATTCCTTATCCCCTATAGTCACCCCATGTATTGAGGCGTGTTGTCTTATGGCTATCGCTAGCGGTTCCAGCGCTAAAACATATAGTAGTGGGGATAGCGGGCACCCCTGGCGTGATCCATTAGTTATGTGGAAGGGATCTGACACGAACCCCGCGTTTAGGACTTGGGCCGTTGGCCTGTTGTATAGAGCCCTGACCGCCGAAAGGAAGCCCTCTGGTATCCCGACCTTAGTAAGGACCGCCTCCAGGAACTCCCAGTTCAGTCGGTCGAAGGCCTTTTCTGCGTCCAGTGCTACCACCACGCCTCCCATTCTCATGCGTTGGGCACTGTATATTATGTCAAGCACTTTCCTGGTGTTGTCTCCCCCCTGTCTGCCTTTTATGAACCCCACTTGGTCTGAGTGGATGAGGTGAGGAAGCAGGCTTCCCAACCTGTGTGCGTATATCTTGGCGTATAGTTTGGCGTCAGTGTTGAGGAGGGAGATAGGGCGGAAGTTTTGGGGGCAGGTGGGCGGTTTCCCCGGCTTGGGTAGCGTTATGATGTGGGCTAATAGTGTTTCACGGGGTAAGCTTTGTTGTTGAGTGGCTTCGTTATAAGCTTTCGTTAAATATGGCACCAGGATGGGTTTGAATGCTTTGTAGTAGCAGTTAGCAAAGCCATCTGGGCCTGGGGCCTTGCCTGTTGGGAGCTGTTGGATTGCTGCGTCTACCTCCTCTTCGGAGACGCTGGCTGAGAGTGTGTGTTGTTGTTGCAATGTCAGTGAGGGCATTGGTATCTTGTGCAAGTATTGTTGTATGTTCTGTGAATTAGGTTGATGTGTTTTGGCATCATTCACCAGGTTATAAAGGGATGCGTAGTATTTGGCGAACGCATTGCTAATGTCCTTGGGGGCTGTGATTTTGTGACCCTCTTCCGTTCGGATGTGTGCTATCTTTTGTTTAGTTTGGATTGTTTTGAGGCGTTGTGCCACTAGTTTGCCTGCCTTGTTTCCTTGAGCGTACTGTGTCGCTTTAAGCCTCTGGAGGTGCTGTCCTGTTCTATCTAGTGCTTGTTTGTGCATGTCTTGTGTGAGCTGAACAATGCGTTTCTTTAGGTCTTGTGAGGGGTTCCTTTGGTTTAGGGTCGTGATGTCTAGTAGTTCTTTCTGCCTCTCCTGGTATTGTGTATCTGCCTGTCGTTTGAGGGTTGCTGCTCTTTGGATCAAGAGTCCTCGTGCTACGGCTTTGTGTGCCTGCCAAATCGTATTGTGGGATACCTGGGCTGTCGTATTTTCCGCGAAGTAGTGTCGCAGTGCTCTTTCTAGTGTTTTGCAGAAGTTGGGGTCCCTGAGGAGAGAGGCATTAAGTCTCCAGGGGCTTCTGTGCTTGGCGTCGTATAGGTCGGTCAAAGTCACTACTACCGGTGCATGGTCTGACCATGTGAACTGTTTAATGTCGCATTCTTTTATTTGGTCTAGGTGTTGTCCCTTAACTAGTATGCCGTCAATCCTGGAGTACGTGTTGTGTACCGTGGAGAAAAATGTGTAGCCCCTTTCCCCAATATGTGTCGCCCGCCACACGTCGTAGTAGTGGTGTGTATTGAGTAGTGTTTGTATTGCTTTGCATTGCCGTTTGAGCGGTCGCATTCCGGGTGCTGCTGGCGACGCCTTAGAGTCTACCGTGGGGTCCATCACGTGGTTGAAGT